TAAGAAATAGTAATTTATTAGCACAGCGTGCAGATGAAATTCCACTCCATGCAACGTCCTTGTACATAGTGCTTTGCAGCTATTAAATTCACCACATAAGTCCTAATTTGCACACAGGCCTTTATACAGTCCCCCCTGCAGTGGCACAAATTTCTCTGAAGAAGAAAGCTGAAGTTAGTCCAATACAGCTCATTTCCTAACTTATGTTCAAGAGGAAAACAGATAACTTTGAACTTTCTGAAGAATTCACTATGCCAGCAAAGATCTGAATCCAAGCCCAGGCAGCGGCAGCATTTCAGATGATGAGAGGAAAGCTTGTGTCAGCCTCTGGAAAAGAAGGCTTGTGCAACTGACTCTGTAATACCAAAGGATGATAGCTCCTTCCTGTAAGTAGAGATTCCTGCCTTATAAACATACCTGCCTGGGAGAGAGCCATCAGCAAATCTTTCACTGCAAGATACCACCCCTCTGCATCAAAGCACCCCATGCTTTGTCTTTTCTCTCAGTCATGGACAGTCACCCATCACTCAGCCTAGGGAGGCACCAACATTTCAAATGCACAGGGCTGCAACCAGAGGACTGATCGTGGGATCCTCATTCCAGTGTTTCCCAAGCAGCCTGGTTAGAGATGAAAGCCTGCATCTTTCATGCCTGTCTTTGCCCAGCCTTATCCCCCTCCTGTTCTGAGCTACTGCAGGGCACAAAGGAAGAAAAGACAGACATTTTACTGCAACTTCTGTGGCAAGCTGCTGGGGACTGGGAGAAGACAGCAGAGTTTTCAAAAGGGGAAGGCTGAACAGAGTTACTGGGAAGCAGACCTGTGCCCTGTGGAATAGCTGCTTTTATTCCATATTTGTACACGGATAATAAACAACCAGATTTGCCTTAGCCCTATCTAATTCCTTCTGGTATTACTGAGCGTAGCCTGCACAGACCAATTAATTTAGCTTTGAAGATATGCTTTCAACAAAAGAGTATACATTTTCAAGTCAAGACAATCTAGTACACATAAAATCCTTCATAATTTCAATTTTTTATTCTTGCAGAATAGAGCCCTGATGGAATTTCACCAAAAAGATGGAAAAAACCCCACCTAAAAGCCCATTAACATCACAGATGTTAAAAATTACATCATGTAACTGCAATAAAAATCTGCTCTGTAAGTGCTGGGCATCTGGACAAACCTGTTGTACAATGTACATTTTTGATGCTCATAGTAATAGGAGTGGGTTTTGCTAAGTTTTACTAACATGAATATTAACCTCCCTGCTTGCTAACCTAGATTTACCAGCTTCCTAAAACACAAAGAAAAACCATGTCACTGCTCCTAGCAGGAAGGGAATAGATTCAGAGAGGCAAAAATCCTGCAGAAAGATTATAGATTAATCGGAAGACTTTAGAGGTTGCAAGTAGCCATAACCTGTTGTGTAAGTACCATTTCTTTCCTGCCTACAAAACTTCAAATACTACTCCTTGGTCTGTTCTCTATGTGGTGCTGAAAAAAAGGATAAAACTAAACAGCATGGAAAGGTCTACGTACGTACTGCATAGACAAGTATCAAGGAGTTGTTTTCTTGTTTCCTATCTTAGTTTCTTTTTTCCTCAGAGCATCAAAAGATATTTAGTCAAATCTTACACATTATTAGGATGTGATGCCCTCTGTCATAGATACAGATGAAATCTAAAAGGCTCTGTAGTAAAACTGCACCGAATCAGACTGTTAACAAGCTATGTGCTTATTGTAAAATAAAAGTCAGTGTTTCTAATCCAAGTTCCCATGCAAATCTAAGTTTTAAAATCAGTCTGTTGGATGAGGGCACACAATGTTTGTAACCTATAAAGAGGAATGAATAATTCAGTAGGAACTCTGGCAGATAGTTGGTAGTGAAATTTGGGCTGATTTGTATTAATTTGCTTTACATAGCATCTGTCCCTAAAAGCTTGGCCAAGACCACCTCCAAGCCTTGCTTGTGCAGTAGAGCCCCTGCCGCCACAGCTATGTATGCACAAATCCTATGGGCAGGTGCACCTCAGAAGCAGTTCTTTTGTTGCACGGCAGCAAACCCCCAAATAACATGAGTCAATGACAAGTCTCAGAGGGATCTGAGCTAATAAACTGGAAAATGAAATTCTATTTCCCCATTACTAGTTGTGCTTATTTCTACAGAAATATAAATTCTGTATAGAAAACACCTTGCTATTTCATACTACTTATTAATGGATTTGTTCCAGAGTTCTGAAATAATGAGGAACAACTGATTAAAGTGTGCCCAAGGGGCCTCTGCAATCCACTATCATACTTCTGTGTAGTAGGGAACAACTACACATGCACATCCCTTCCATCTACAATGCCCTCAGCCAGGCTATAATTTGGCCAGGAAAGGACGATGCTGGAAAGGTAGAGAAGGGACAGGGGAATGGGAAGAAGCAGATGCTGCTTGCTACAGGGAAAAGGTTCCTCTGGAGCATCTACACAAGGGGGCTAACTGCAGTTGCAAAACACATGTTTTTTCAAGGAGATGTGTACCCATATAATCCGCTGGTATTTTTGTAAAAGCTCAGGAAGTATATATCTATAGGCAATCCTATTTCTTTAAAACAAGACAATCTCATATAGAGTTTCAGGTAGAGGCCTTCAGAGAAAATGAAAGAAGAAACACCTGATCAAGAATCCCTTTGCTCCCCCTAAGCCTGCTTTTAAACTGCACTAAAGCTATTCTTACACAGGCTTTGTTCATGAGTTTTTATGTGTAGTAAATTCACAGTAAGGCTCCTGTTTGCTTTCAGCATTGATAACAGACCAGAAGATGACACCCACACCTAGCAAGGAGGCTGGCAGAAGGTACTGTTAAAGACATTTTTTTCTTTTTTTAAATCAGAGTGAATTACACACATTACATGCACCAGCTAAACTTAGATGCCTAGCTACATGACTGAACAGCAACCAAACACAGTCTGAGGAAAAGGAAAATTGAACTTTCTAGCAGAGAGCCAGCTCTCCATCTGGCTGTATCTCATGCCAATCCCAAGCATAAATAAATGAAGAGGAAAAGCAGTTGAAGTGGGAAATAGCACCGCTACTGCTAAACGGTGTCAAAGAACCCAGTCATGAAAAGTGCCAGAACAGAAAAAATACCAAGGCATATGGCACAGCATGGCAGAGCTAGAGCACAAGATGGGGTCTTGCAAGGGACAGAGTAGGTAACACCACCAATGGCTCTTAACCCTCCTTTGGAGGACATGGGAGAGATTTACCAGGGAAGGTGGAAGTGGCTGACACTGTGAACATCCCTCACCTCAATTTACCTCTGCTCAGCATGGATCTAAGACACAAAAGAAGGGTAATGGAAAAGAGCCTTCCCTCTCTCTTTAGTGCTTCCCACCACTTGCAGAGGTAGCAAAAACATTGCACAACAATTATTTTCTGGGTATTGTAAGCACATTATTATTTTCATTTGTATAAAGTACATGCTACACAGATATAGCATGGACACACTCTGAGAGATCACACCTGTTTAAAAAAATTTTTAAAAAGGCTGAGGATATAAATTATTGAGAGAGGAGGAAGCAAGAAATACTAAATAATGAATTACATGAATATATGAATGTGCAGTCAATAGCTTGACTTTAAAATGTCTGAATAGAACCACATGCCATTTTAAAAGCCATGAATAACACAGAATTGGCAAAAGATACAATGCACAATTCCCCATCAACAAAAGCACTTAACTGTACTAATGTTGTATTAATGCTGTTAATACTAGCACAAGAACAATCTCCTGCTAGGAGCAGATCAATTTACTTCTGCATAAAAGCCCATATATCAGCATATATACAATAGCATACTCTGTATACTTGGATGCCCATAGGAATATTACAGTATGGTTCTCCAACATAGCTTTATGAGCTTCTGGCAGCCCAAATATAAGATTTATCTTGCCCAGTTTAAAATACAAATCCAGATTTGGCCAGGGCTATCAGAATTCAACAATGGATTCAAAATAGAGATACGTAGTTGTGTTGGAAATCAGTGATAAAATTTATTTTATGTTACCACATCAACAAATGAACCAAACCTTAACTTTTCAAAGTCAGCTGAAACTGGAACTAAATGCACTCTTAAATCCATGAAGGCAATCCTTGTGAAAATGTCCTAAGTTTTGCCTGTCTTCATTAATTTTGCATATTTGGAAAAGTGTAAAAAGCTAGAGCATTACAGCTGCAATGGCTCGAGAGACCTTTCAGACAATGCATGCGTAAGCCCACAGAAGCCCAGAGGCACATCTCTGTGTAGGGTCATTCTGTGAATGGAGTGGCTGAGAACTGAATGCCTAATTGGATGAAGTATTACTCTCAGCTCAGTTTTTCAATAAAATAGCAATCCGTATATCCCAAATGTGGACACTCCTGAGAGGTTTCATCAAGCAAAAGCTCTGAGACATGCATAGCTCTTGTTCTAATTATTTTATCTTCTTTTTGAGGGGAGTAGACTGGTGAAGAAGGGGAGGAGGCAGAACACCAAAATAAATCACATGGTCATGATTGCATCACAACAGAAAGAAAGGGCACTGCACTTTCTGGAAAACATTTAAGACTTCTAGAGTTTATGGTGTGTTGGAGAGAATAGCTAGAAAAAAAATAAAATCCAACAAACACCACCACCACCACCAAAACCCAAACCAGAGACATACCACTATTCGGTAGTCAGGCTAGAAACTGCTCAATAGAAGCAAGGGATACAGAAGCAGAAGTTATAAGCTGAAATCACTTTAATCCATACCAAAAGCTTTGGAATAACATTAAAAGGTTTTAAGTAATTTTAGGACATCTCTTTTTTTTTTTTTTTTTTTTTTAACAAAAAAAGTCTTTAGCTCTACGATTTCCACACTGCGACAAACTAATGCTTGATATATGTCAACAAGAGGGCTCAGCATTCAGTGAAGGTGTCTGCCGCAATGGGTGACAGAGTTCCCCTGTTACTCATACACAGAGTGTACCTGTGCAGGCTTTCCTATCCTGCTCCTACTTGCTACAGACATACAGATTCTTTCTGCCTGAATCTGTCCATCCAGCCCCTTCTCTGTAGCATACAACATGGCACAACTGTTCCAGAAGGGATTAGAGAGATGTCTTCTTTCTAGACAGGGTTCAGACATTATTCATAACTGTTTTGTTTAAGCCTGTCTCAAGACAGGGCCCGCAAAAGAGCTAGGCTACATTTATACATACCCTGAAAATGGATTTGGGAAGAGCCACGGGTACCTTTTCATTCCAGCAGGAGCCTGAAGCTGATCACTCTACCCTGTGCAAGCGCTCCTCTCCCCATGGGATTGCTAACAGGGACTCTGCCAGTGGTGACTACTGCAATAGCTTTTGCAAGAAGAACACCCTCCTGCTAGAGGAAGGGCTACTAATTTAACAAAGGTCACCTACCAGCTTTGGATGATAAAGCATGGTTACTGCTGAGCAAGGCTGGCTCGACTTCAGTATAAATTGTTCTACCTCATAAAATTTAGCTTTAGCAACAGTAAAGCTATGTATCATTGCCCCTGTAAAAAAATGCTTTGAGTTTTGTTATATTTATGGGGTCATTTATCTTACTAGGTAATGCACTGGACATCTGGGAAAGGCCAGTCATTTTATGAGTGGCTTCATCAAAGCTTACATTGTACATTCAGCAAAGCATGCTTGCTGAATACATTTTCTGATATAAAACAATTATGTTATTGCATATACTCTTTATTAAAGCAAGGAATCTGTTAGAAATACTGACAGATGAGAAATCAGACAGACAGGGTTAACCAGCTGACAAATGGTGCCCAGATGAATTTTCAATAAAGTTACTAAAAAACCCTCCAGGATTAACCACCATCCATTCTCTGCTACAAAAGCAAAAGCCACCCTGCTGACTGGTTGTCAAACTTGGTAACACCTACTGCTGAATTCCTGACTTGTACATATTAAGAATTAACTTGTACATGTTAAGAATTAACTTGCTTTTTTCTTTAGTTGTGCAAAGTGAAAAGTATTTTCTAGCTATATAAGCAGGCATTGTATAAATACAATATCCCATGGTACAGACTTTAAAAATGATTAATTATTATTATATAGCTTAAAACCAGAGTACATCAAAAGACCTGAAAGAAAATCACAGTAAGTGACACCAAAATGTTACATTTTTACCAAGCATTAGAAATCCACAGATTTAGAAGTAACATTACACTATATAAAGAACAAAACATATTTAGATATTGGGGGAAAAAGCAAATAAAGGAAATAGTAATTTTGTCCAATGCTGACGTAATGAAATAAATATGACCACAGGATTTAGCATATATAGCTCCAGATTAATTAGATTAATCTTCAAGGCAATAGCTTTAGAGCAGTCCTCCTACTTCCTTTCTTGCCCTGCAACTTTCTAAAGAAGTAATTTAATCTAACCTGAAGCATCGATCTTACTATATTTGCATTTTATGATGCCCAATAGAGTAACAGAAGAGGTGGTAAAATATTTCATCCCAAATCAGATGTATGCATTTCTCAACCCAAATTCCAATTACATATTTGCTGCAAACAGAATTTCTGAAGTATGTGCTTTTAAAATTTACATATGAACAGAAGTCAAGAGGTCTAAAGGTATTATCAGGTTGCTTTACTTACAGCTTTAACCTTAAAATAATTTAACTTCTAGATTTTTTCATCCAGTTTCCCTGAACTATTTTAAAGTATGTCAATAGGTAGCAGACAAGTCACTCACCTACTCTGAAGATCAAATCATCTTCAATGGGATTCTCTTTTCTTTTGCCGGTGCTATACATGCTTGCAGGTCTTTTCACAGCTTTCTGCTTCACATGACCACTGCCAGGAGATTTAACACGCCTCTTAACCCCTTCAGTAGTAGGGGACACATCTGCTGATCTGACCACTTTAAGTTTGAATGGGCTGCCCTTGATATGTTGATCATAAAGTCTCAGTGACAAAGTGAAGTCCCCTTCTTTCTGAACAGTATACAAAAATTCATAAGTGCCATTTTTATTGTCAAGTATTTCTCCATCTGCTACACTCCCATCAGGCGTGCTCAGTTCAGCAGTGAGGTAAGCATTCCCAGATTTACAGAGCTCCCCATCTTTGTCCTTAGTTGTGATGGTAACGGACATGGGCTGTCCAATCACTGTCTGCCTCAATCCCTCACCTGTGGCAACTGTTTCAGAGGCAACAGCATTGGTGGTTAAAATAGTTCCCAGATTGTGAATGGACTTCTTCAGGCCTTCTGTCTCCACTATGAAGTCTAACTGATCGTTTTCACGGGGCTGCAACGGGAAGTCCCGCTCTGCCAGTTCATTCAGCTTGTCGCCCATTTGCTTCTTCACCAGCAGAACTTCAGTTTCAGTGCCATGGTTGAGGGCTTGGGCCGTGAAGTTGCTGCAACTTTTAATGCTTTCTTGTCCTTCAAGTAAGGTATCCAGCTGTGTCTGGAGGACCTGTGTGCATTACGCAACACCAGAGTAGCAGCATGTTACAGGAACCATCCTAGCAAGATGTAGCATGCTTTATATCTAAAGGCCTTTGTAGAAACCCAATTTATAGTGCTTTATTTTAAAGTTTATTTTTAAAGTGTCATAGAAAAAGTATCACACTGATCCCCTACATGTTCTTGGAATGTCACGCTGCAACACAAAAAATGTACCCTGTTTTGGAGTACAGATCCACTGTCACACTACATTGAATTATTGCCCCATCTGTCTCTCTTGTCTTTTTTTAAAAAAAACCCCACAAAAACTCAAAAAAAAACCCCAAACCCCAAAAAACCTCCAAATGTAGATGGTTGAAACTTGCTCTATCTAACTCTCAGTCAATTAAATAGTTACTGGGATTAAGCTGTGTGCACAGAGATATTTGGGAATCATCATGCCCATTAATAAGGGAGGCTGCAAGAAACTTGTTGAAACTATTTCTTCAGGCCAAGTAGGGAAAACCTTGGGTTACTCCTCTATGGAGACGGACAAGGAGGCACTCTCAAGAACTGTACATCCATGCTAAGGAAAAGTGTGATTCCCGATCTAACAAGTGAAGAAGGCAAAGTCTCCCCAGCAGCAGGTAAATTGATTCCCCAGTTTCAGCAGGTAGGAAAGCAAAACGTAAAGGATGGGTTGTGGCTATTGGGAAGAGTTGGGTTGAGTAGCCTGAAATTTTGGTGGGCAGTAGCAGTAGCTACTCTGTATTTAAGACTGAGAAAGAAGTTTTATAATAGCCTCAGTTCTGGCCCTCAGTCTAAAATCCTTAAAACAGTATTGACCTCAAAATTGTTAGGTGTGAGCTAGGGACAAAGCTAACTTTTTTTTTTTTAAAAAAAAAAAACAGTTTTGCAATTAATTAGAAAAAGGATCCCTGAATTTTAACAACCTAGCAGAGAAATTTATGACAGTCAGGAAAGCCCAAACATTCCAGCTACCCCCCACACTCTCCACTGACAAAATCTCCAAACCAAAGTATCCAGTCACACATGTGGTATGTTTTTCCTACAGAGAACTAGGGCACAGACATTACTGTGGATCAGAGAAATTATTTGGTTTACCATCACTGTAAAGTAAATATTTTTGAAACATTTCAATAGATTTTAAAGTAAGCTTACAGACTGGGTGTATTTATTGCTATGAGATACTCTTCCCTTGCTGAGACACACCACATAATGCCACTGCATTCTAAGGGCATTTTTCTTCTGAATTTTACAAAGCTATCTGCTTTTCACCCACTGGAGAAAATCCAGGCTGATGAGTTACTGACACAGGAAAGTGATAACACCACAAAAACTTTTGCAAGCAGAACAGGAAAAACAAATTTCAAGACTACACTGAAATTTCAAGTTAGCTGTTTTTCTAGGCATCTATAAACCTCTCAGGATTCAATTCAAGGCATTTCTAATCCACCTTGTCTTTATTCAAGGACATAAGTAGTTAAACAGATAGTATAGCTAACAAAGTCCCAGGATGACAAAAACTCATGTTTGGGATAACAAACCACAAACTGAGGAGGAAGACAATTTGCAGCTACATTTTAAAACCCTTATTTTCTCAATATAGATTTCTTTCATTACAAAGATGGAAAAAATTAAATCCTACCATAACTAATACGTAAAATGTGTTTAAAGTATTTTACATGAGAAACCTTTCAGTCCATTGGACAACTGAAACTGAATCGCCAACGTTCTTTTACTAAAGTGTAGCACTTTCATTTTTTTCATTTTTGCAAGTACATGATCGGAATGATGGAATATCTGGGTTTGCATTATTTTGCAGAACTGCTATTCACTGAAAAGTAAAATCCAACTCAAACCACTCTTTTTTTATACAAACAGGGGAGATGCCTCTTTTACTGCTTATGTGCAGCTTTGTAAAACTTTGGTTCTCTAATGCCCAAAATATTTTTTAAACTACTTTACATCCCTTTAAACAACAATAAGATAATTTAACATCATATTCCATCTTGTGTGAACTTTGTACACACCCTGAGTACATTTGCTTGCTTAGAACATAAGTTTTTGTGGCATCTTGGATATGTTTAGGTTAACTTGGGACCTAAGTCAAATTTTTTTTATGCCAAAAGCTCCTTAGCCCCTGCTTAGCTCTGGAGGTTACTAAATTCTGTGCCCCAAAGGTTTTGGGTTTCCTGTGTTCCTGAAAGTACACACCTTGTGCACATCTTAGAAATCCTCCATTTTCACAGGCCCAGTAGTTCAATACTTTCCTAATGGTCAAGCCTGTTCCAGATCCAGGAATGCAGCATTCCTCTGCTTCAGATACATGGAGATGCTCAAGCTGCTCAGTAATCACAGAGAATGCCCAAAGATGCCACTATTATCAGGCACTCTTGAACCTCCAGTTGTTGATGCTACTTTCTTTTAACGGCTACTTTGAGGGAAGAGATCTTTCTTTTATATAAAACAGAGAACCGATGCCCAGGAAGACAAGGACTATATTCTTTCACTTCAGCTCTGGAATCTATTGCTCTCTACATTTCTCTGAGAAAGTAAGATGTCTCTCCAATCTTTTCCAACCAGTGTCATGTATGTTACCAGGCATTTGAAAGGAAAACAGTGCTTTAAAGCAAAACAGTAAACCTTGTTCAGTTCTTCAGAAGAAATTGTTTGGCCTGTATCTTCATGGTGGGATTCATAGGCTTGAAGCCCAAGGATTTCAGACTTTCCTTATTGTCATCTGCATATCAGCATGTTGGCTTTAAGCAGATGCCTGCTTAGTGTGTTAGCCATTTTAGATCCTCACACACCATGCACAAAGGACTACCTGCCCATACAAGGTCTGTATTCCATTTATAAGGCTGGGCACTCACAAGCAAAGCTCTGCGGCACTTGATTTCAGGAAAATAAAGTTCTCCTCTGGATCTCAGGCACAAGTTGTCAAACTGGCATCCTTCAGCATTTGTAAAAACTGTCTGATTAAATTAATAGCTTTTCATTGAAACAAAACATGCATCTTACTTTGTGTTTAAGGCCATAATTCACTTCCAGTTCCATAAGCAGCACGCTCTTTCTCACATTTAAAGTCTTCTGGAGTTCATCAAAAGTGGAATGAATGTCATCTACAATGCTAGCCTTTTGGTTGGTTAACTGGTGTATGATTTCAGATATAAAATGAAGGGCTGAGTCGATCTCTGGAAGCCTGAGGGAAGGATTAAATTACAAAGACTGCTGTTTCAAAAGTCGTTATACATTGGCCCTTGCTCTGATATCTTTTGATTAAACAATGTCATCAGCAGGCTGTCTTTAAACTTGGTCATTTCCCAGAAGTAAGTTCATTTCTTTTATAACCACATAGTGGTTTTGGTCAGATAAAATAAGCTAAGCCAGGGCCCTCCCTCGTGAAAATCCATTAGACTTTAAGCATTTCCAACAACAAGGCCTTGGATCCTCTGTCCTTTATGCAAATGTGTCTACTTGTGAAGATATAACTAGATCTACCCCTCTTTTCCTTTTTTACTTTTAGCTTTTCTGCCACCATAGTGTTTGTACTAGTCTTTTAAGCATCCAGTACTATTTATTTATCATGAAATTCACGACTGGCTAGTACTTTTCTCCTTAACATTTTATGCCCTTTCTTTGGAGGACACTTGCACTTCTAATGGCCTCTGTTTTGTGAAAGCCAGATGGGAACCTTTTGCTCTTTTCTCTAAGCCCTCAGTTCAATGCACTTAATGTTTTTTTTCCATTATGCTAGCCTCACTATCCCTGTTTTCTAGGTAAAGGTCCATGGTACCAGCACAGTAAAACACCTACCCCAGGTAACACAGAAAGCCAGTGGTAGAACTGAAAATGGAAAATAATCACTGGAGTCTCCATACCTTTTGTTGACAGCATCCAGCTGGACTTGGAGGGAAGCCTTGTGTTGCTCCACCACATCCTTGAGCGGTACCGTGGGATGTTCTGCGTGTTCTCCCTCTGTACACTCCCGGCACATGGCTGTCTCACAGGACTGGCAGTAAAACTCCATCACCTGGAAAAAGTGCATAGCTCTAAATTCAAACATGGCAGCAGTTACATCACTCAAAGCACATCTTACTGGGTCTTGAACTCATGTTATTATCCAGGCTCTGAGATGAAGTTTCTCCTGTCTTAGACATCAATAATTTACTGCCTAAAAGATGGCTGTTATTCTTAAATATTTCATATAAAAATTTTATTCTATCAGAAAGTGTCAGAACAGCCTGGGAAAAAGAATGCTGGACTTCAAAGCTGACCCTAACATCATCTTTATACTGCACTATGATAAGTTTTGGTGTCTCTCTCAACTACTCTGTGAAACAACTCAAAAAACCAGGGCATTCAAGTCCCCTCACTAACTTGATCCTTAGTCTCCAAAAGGGTCTGCCAAAGAAGTGTAAACTTAGGCTGGTTTTCATAACAGGGCCACCCATGGAATATGAACTCAACAGAGCTCACCAAACAGCATGTTTATTTGCTAGAGAAAAGCACCCTAAATGAACCTACGTG